GATCCCTACTTACATCTATACTACAATTGTCAAAAAGAGGGTTAAATTTGTGTGCTTATATATTTCGCATCAATACTAAGTGGAGGAAGCCCGAAACAAGAAAGGAGACTCTCTTAGGCAACGATCGTAGCCCGAAGTGGGAACTTTCTCATACCCCACCTAATAATGCAGCTCACCAGCAGCTTAGGGATGAATTGGTCGAGTTAAGAAGGATGATAGCCCAGAATGCTCAACCCCAAGCTCACCTGCTATTCAGGATCACCTGCCAAAAGCCATACCCGGAATATATTGATGAGCCAAATCTTTTTCCTCTCAACTTCAAGATGCTCGTGTTTCCAACTTTCAGTGCAGATTATGGCAGTGTATCCTCTAGAAACCACATCTTCAAGTTCTCCAACCATTGCGTGGCATTTGAAGATATAAGTTGAGGTTGTTTAGGAACTCATTGGTTGGATTAGCATCTCAATGGTACTCTTTGTTGCCCCCCCCAAGTCTATTGCTAACTAGGGGCAAATAGAGACGGTCTTCCTGTTGGAAATGTGCCCTAAAACCAATCATGTGATGATACTTTACGGACATTTCACATGTTAAACTAATCTAGTTTAATATAAAGGGCAAAGATTATTGTTTGAGCCGTCTCATATAAATGTTATATGCTTAAACGATAAAGTCCAAGGAATATGTGATTGGGAGAATGCAATCTAAAGAAGTTAGATTCATGAGACCATTCTTTCGTATACACATCCTAAACGTTCCTGATCATAGGATTGCCAATTGGGCATTGACAGTCCGTTAAGATCAGTACATGCTGTGTCTTCTCTCAGGGAGAGTGACTAGTCTCGAGTCATTGATGTGTGTGACATCAAGACAAGTACGTAGGTGCTCAATAGAGAGTGAGTTCACTGAACACGATCAACGAAGAGTTCTCATATTCATGTCACATGAGAACTCATGGTTGGGATAATGCAAAGTAGTCTTTTGACCTGAGGCATCACAGTTGTCTTGTGGTTAAGTCCTTGATCTTTGATTATGTCAAAGTCACCCCATCGGGGTGTCCACGGCATCGTTAGGGTTAAGCCACTTAGTCATGGAGGCAAGTGAATGCGCAACAAGGGATCTCTAACCTTCAAACAGTTTGAGGGAGAATACTCTATGATATGATTAAGAATCTTTGGCCAAAGTATGAATGAGATTTAGGAAGGCGTTCCAAATCACATTCAAGGTAATCATATAAGCACACGAATCACATTGGATAGTAGACATGAATAAATAAATTATCAAACCAAACAATGTGGTCAAGAGTATTGTATTAGAGAAAGACCGTATTGCATTTGTAATCCTAAACTGAATAGGTTCTCCACCTCTTCTGATTAGCTTGGGTAACCATGATATGCTGCTAGGTGTCACTCATGGTTTGTGGAAGCCCTAAACGTGTATAATCACTAAAGGGAGAATTGAAAGTAAGTTTCAATTCACAATCGATGTGAAATGGTTTTAATCGCCCACTGCCTCGCTAAAAGGAACCTACTGGATCGCACACCGTGTAAGGTGGAGATTGAAGAAACAATGGAGATGAGTAAGAATGATTAAATGGTTTAATTATTTATTTATGGCAAAGATTAATTAATATGTTAATTAATCAAACGAATAAGTTCGTTAAAGACCTCGGGATAGTTTTGGACCTTAAGGCCCAATGGGCTTCGAACGTCAAGTCCATTGACTTAAGTTGTATGACAACTTAATTCACTAAGACCCAAAAGCCCAAACAACACCCCATGGCCGGCCATTTAGAGGAAAGGTAGTGAACTTGCTTTAATTACAAGTTTGCCACTCAAATGAACAAAGGTATAAATATGACTTTATAGCCTTTTGTTCATTAAGGGTTTGTTTTGGAGAAAATTGGAGAGAACATGTCTCTCCATTTCTCTCTAAAGAGGCCGGCCCCTTGGAGGGTGCATCTAGCAATCCCACTACTCCAAGGTCACTCATTTCTTCTCCAATCTCTCCTTGGTGAAGAGACTTAGAGGTTCTCAATTTTGGGAACTTGGAGAAACCTTTTCATCTATCCAAATCCATAGATTTAAGATGCAAGGAATGAAGGCCCTCTCTTTGGGTGATTAGCCTTTGCTTATGTAAAGAGGAATCTACAAAGGTATAAATCTCAACTCACTTTGTTTTGAGTTGATTAATGGTTCACCAATCTACTAGGCTTTGAATTTCATGGGTAATGTTTTGTTTTTGAGTGCATGCAAGCATGATTCCGCCTTTAATTGTTAATTGCGTGCTATATGATGTTGCTCAAATGAACATGTTTTCACAAAATCATCCTTCACTTCCATGAGCAGTTCTATAGGCTGGAGCCCGAGAAGTCCAATACGAACATGAGTCTATTGAGGACTTCATGATGAGGTTTAGAAGGACAAGAATGAGATGCCAATTCCCTGTCAATCATGCCCAACTCATATCCATTGCTCAAAAAGCCTTAAGGTTGCCTTTTAGGAAGAAGTTTTATAATGTGCAATTCAATGAGTTGCAAGAGTTGGTGATTGCTACCACAAAGTATGAGAAGTTGTTGCTTGAAGAATAGCAAGTGAATCACTTGTCTAAGGTGCCTCATTTCTACAAAAGCAAAGTTGCCATCCACCAAGTGGAGTTTGAAGGAAAGCTAGAAGAAAATGATGGGAGAAAGGGAATGGACATATGTGCAGCAGAGATGACTACCCCCTTTAAGCCTTTAATAGTGAAGGGGTTAGTCCAACCAGTCAAGGATCAGAAAGTGGTAATGAATTATGGTGGTTTTGTCCCCATGAAGCCCCCTAAATACCTAAGTTACTCTTTTGATTTAACAAAGGCTGCAGAGATTTATGAGGAGTTGTTCGGGCAAGAGTAATTGTGCCCAATAACACCAAAAAGATGCCTAAGCCATAAGAGTTGAGATGGAAGAAGTATTGCAAGCTGCATTATACTTTCAATCACTCCATAACCAACTGTGTTTAGTTCAAGGATTGGATACAAGACCTTATAGTAAAGGGAAAGTTGTTGTTGGAGAAACCGCAGGACAATATGATAATTTACATAGATCCTTTCCTGGAAGCCCCAATAAACATGATCAACTTGACATGAGTTGAGAAAGGGAAAAGGAAGGCCACCTAGGAAGTAAAAGCGAAAATGAGGCAAGTAATTGACAGGCCAACCGAATGAGCCATCAAGTTGCCTGAAAAACCCAAAGCAATTATAGTTAAATAAGTGGTATTGTGTAGCAGGTGTCAGTATGAATGTGAGTTGGAGGTAGCAACATTAGGAACTATCATTATTCAGGAGTTAATCAAAAAAAGAGAACAAGAAGAACAAGAAGCCTACATAAATGTCTTGCAAACAGCTGAGAGAGAGACCTCGAGAAATGTTTTCCAAAGGTTGGGAGAAGATTCTCAACCAAAGGGCTTGTCAGAAATGTTCAGAAATTATGAAGCCTCTGAAGAAGTGGAAGACAGAGAAGACAAAACGCCAAGATAGGTAGATGTGAGGCCACCACATCCAAGCTATGTCGGTGAAGATGTCATAAGAAAGAAAATGATAGTGAATTCAATGATGAAATGGTATGTGGTTGGAAAGGATGGGAAACCCATCAAGGAAATGGGAACCTCTATGATCAGGAGAATTCAGAGGCAGCACAAAGCCCACATGAACTCATTAAAAATCCCCACTGCCTCAGAAACCCCTGAGAATGTGAAGTTTGAGAAAGTACCTCATAGGGGAAGAAATCAACTTCAATGGAAAAGCAAAAAAGAGGTAGAGAAAGCTAATAGCAAGATCGAAGGGAAATGAGATCATGTGCCACAGAGCCCCCATCATGGGAAATAAAAAATCTTGAGGAAAGCTAAAAAAGATATGGTAATGATGCCAACCCCAAGATGGAGTTCAGAACCAATATGCTTTGGAACTATCTCACCTGAGAGGGGGTTGCCCGCACCATTGCTAGTTGATACTTTCTATGAGAACTCAGCACAGATACAGAATGTTGGCATAACTCAGGAAGAAAGGTTGCTCGAGCTGATGATACCTGAAGAAGCAAAAACCTAGTTAAATCAATTCATGAGCCATATTGGGGGCAAGAAGGAAGATTTACCTGGACTTAGCAACTTCCACATAAACATGACATATGTTCTATCTGCCATGTTTTGTCCCAAGCATGATCAACCTGCCACAATGGAGGGTGATTACTTGGCAACAGAACCTATGATGGCACATGTTAGTATTGAAGAAGCAGGAAAAAAGAAGTAGGGCAGAATAGGTTTGCCCGAGCTTTCAAGGAAAAAGCCTGAGAGAGTGTACTCAGACATAATGGTCTTCGGTCGCCCAAGTTTGACCCTAGCTAACCATCTCAAGCCTATTTATGTAACTGCTCATCTAGAGGGTATACCTTTCAAGTGGGTTTGATTGATGGAGGAGCTGCGGTCAATATGTTGCCATACAAGCAAATGAAAAAGATGTGTAGAAGTGAGGAAAATCTCATCCCCACAGATCTAACAGTTTCCAGTTTCTTCGGAGTCATTACTAGAACTCATGGGATATTGCCCCTGAAGGTTGACTTGGGTTCCAAGTAAATCATGCTAGCCTTCTTCATGGTAGACAATACTTCCACTTATGGAACTTTGCTTGGCCGAGATTGGATTCATCAGAGTATATCGATGCCTTCCACCCTACACCAACAGGTAGCAGTTTACCATGAGGAATGAGCCATAGGACCAGGATTTTGGGAGTTGGTGAAGGTTGAGTCACAGCCATTCCTCTCCACAGTTAATGTTGCAGAAGCTAGCTTTTACAATCCTAGTATTTAGATTCTCCAGTGCTGAAAAACTAATGAGAACGGCCGTCTGACTAAGGTGACATCCCAAAAGCTTTTGGAACAAGGATTGTTCCTCACTAAGGAATAATGGGATAGACCCTATATTGTCCCAACTCCCCAACACCAGTAATATCAGACACAAAGTCATATGCCCATGGCTAACTTATCCATAGATACAGCTGCCAAACACAAAGTCCTATCTTTCATGGATGGGAATGCCGGTTATAATAAGATAAAAATGGCTAAAGAAGATATACACAAAACAGCTTTTAAGTGCCCAGGTCATGTGGGAGCATATGAATACTTAGTCATGCCATTCGGGCTCAAAAATGTTGGTGCAACCTATCAAATAGCAACGAATGCCATTTTTCATGACTTAATCGGCCATAGCATGGAAGTATACATTGATGACATCGTGGTGAAATCTAAAACTGGAGAACAACACTTGGTAGACCTCAGACAAGCTTTAACAAGAATGAGAATCCATAAGCTGAAAATGAATCCAAAGAAATGTGCTTTCGAGGTAAGGTCGGGCAACTTTTTGGGATTCCTTGTTCATCAAATAAGTGTAGAGGTTGACAAGAACAAAGCTCGGGCAATAGTGGAATCACCTCATCCCACCAATAAAGTACAACTGCAGAGGTTACTAAGAAATATCAACTTCTTGAGGAGATGCATCACTAATTTGGCAGGCAAGATTCAACCCTTAACTCCTCTGCTAAGATTAAAAGACAAGGTAGAATATGAGTGGGGCTCACCACATCAAGAGGCTTTCGACAGAATAAAGGCTTACTTAGCCTCCCCATGCCACCTCAGAGGGGGAAGTCTTTAAAACTTTATATTTCTGCCTTTGAAATGCCAATGGGAAGCTTGCTAGCCCAAAACAATGTAGGCGAGAAGGAATAAGCAATATACTACCTCAGTAAAATCTTTACTAAGGTAGAGACGAGATATACACCAATGGAAAGGTTGTGCTTGGCTCTATACTTCACTGCCTACAAACTAAGGAATTACATGTTGCTTTGCCACATCCATATCATCGTTAGGACAAATGTGATCAAGTACATGTTGTTAAAACCAATGCTAACTAGAAGAATTGGAAAATGGATTCTAACACTATCAAAGTTCAACTTTCAATATGTCCCTCAAAGAGCGATCAAGGGACAATCAATTGCAGACTTCTTGGTTGAGTGATGCGAAATATATAAGCACACAAATTAAACCCTCTTGTTGACAGTTGTAGTATATATGTAAGTAGGGATCATTCTAGGCCGGGGATTAGGAAGGATTGCTAAAACACTTGAAACTGACTTGAAACGTAAAACTAAGTTTGGAACACTAAACTAGACTCAAATAATGCAAAACTAGACTCTAATACACTAAAACAACTTAATTGACTCAAAACAGCACAAAACAAGCTAATTGACTCAAAACAGACACTAAGAGTGAATTTGGACAAAAATTGGTTTTACCTTGACTCAAAACACTTAAAAACACAAACTAAAACAGTTTCTAATTAATATGACTCAACAAAGTAAAGGGGGATTTGGTTTTGACGAATTTGAAAGTAAAACAAACAGATTGTAAACTAAAACAAAGTTTGGATGAAATTGGGTAAATTGGATGGATGATGGGCTAGCTAGAGGGTTCTTCTCCATACATGACACACTTGCATACAAATTGATTTCCAATTGTTTCTTTCAATAAACCATAAATCTCAACACCCCAGATTAATTAGGTACGCTTAAATTAACCCTCAGATTTTCCTTATGTCATTGAATTGGACGGAAATAGCGCATCGCAATCAAATTATTCTTCAAAAGTTCCCTACATGAAAGTGCATAATAGAGATACAATCAAAGATCATTAAGTTCTATGAAAATCATAAGTATTGACAAGGCATTTGTAACTATGAAAGCGCATGATATTGATGCCAGGAATTTACTTAACACGATTGTGACTAGCAACCTCCACTACTTATGAATATAAGTTCATAACGATTAGGTGAAACTCCCTTATATCCTAGCATCAAATTTATGCATGCAAATTAAGTGTGCACTCTCAACCCACATACACAAACAAGTTTTAATTCAAACAGATAAGTAAATTGAATTCACAATTTATGAAATTTATGAAATTTCAACTGGATGTAATCAAATCATATTGCAAGTATAGTCATGGTTTCAAAATTCCCCCAAGCTAAGAGGGGTTTAGTTCCTCATACTCGCAACAAAGATTATTAAACTTAAACATTGAAAAAAAGAAGAAAGATTACACCTAAAAACGTTCCAGCAACTCTAACTTGAATGGCAAGCACGTCCAAGGGCTCTCCTTCTTCTTTGCTACAGCACAAGGTATGGTTGATGATTTTTTGTGGTGAATTGTGGTGGTGGATAAGTGATGGGTGATGAGAGTGTATGGGTGCGGCTGGATGTGTGTATTGGAGAATGGATGGGAAGAATGATGTCTTTTTTGTGTGGCAAAGGGAAGTATTTAAGGTTTTAGGAAATCAAAACCCTAACTTATTTAGGTTAACAAAAATTAAGTCAAAACTACTAGAAAAAAGGAAAACAAAATCAGAAATCAAAGGAAAGAATAAAGTGATATGCAGCAAGGCTTTTTAGTTAAAAAAGGAATGTGATTTGGTGCAGGAAATAGGAAAGAAAGGTTTTCCCTTGCACGGCAAGGAAGAGAAAAGGGACAAGAGAGGTGCAGCAAGTAATGTTAGATGTCTAGAAGTTCTTATTTAGTGTTTTAATATGATTTGGAGTCTTCTTTGTTGCTGGAACTTAGGGACTTATAGGATTAGAAAAGGTTAAAACCAAAGTATGAAACCTTGGCTTAACATTCCTTCTTCTTGTAGGAATCCTTGTGTAAGTAGGAATCCTCATTCTTCTAGGAATCCTTCTTCAATTAGGAATCCTTGTATCTTTAGGTCTTCAATTTCATCCATCTCCCTTGCTCCAAGCATGTGATATTCATTCCAAGCCCAAAACTGATGCAAAAGGCACCAAAATGCACTTTCTTGCCACTTTAGCCCTTTAAACCTCCAAACACACGAAAATGGCTTGAAATACTAAATTAACTAAGAAATAACAACATAAATGCACAAGAACAAGCTAACTAAGTCGCATAAATATGCTCCTATCACTGAGCACCAGGAGTCTCAAGAAGAGATTATCAATATCCCATGAACTCTTAAGGTAGCTAGTATGTGGATCCCGCCAAGCAAAGCCTTCTCGGGCAGAGAAAAATAGATCCAGCAAAAAATAAAAAGAATAACTAGCCTCTGGATATCTCCTTGGAGACTATATTTTGATGGTTCTTGCACTTAAAATGATGCGAGGGCTGGGATTGTCATCACTGATCCCATGGGTACTCACCATTGATATTCATTCCTTCTGGATTATCAAGAGATTACCAACAATCAGGCAGAGTATGAGGCATTGATAATTGGCCTGGGGATTTTAATAGAGTTAGGGGCAACTGAAGTTAAGATGTTTGGTGATTCAGAATTGGTGATCAATCAGTTAAATAGAGAATACAAGTGCAGACACATCACCATGGCAGGTTACTATTTGGCATCCACAAAACTATTGCGCTATTAGGGCATTGAAATATCAACCAACCATATTCCCAGAGCATCAAACACGATTGCCAATGAGATGGCACAATTAGTTTCTGGAGCACAGATCCAAGAAAAGAAGTTCGAAAGGGATATAGAAGTTAACAAGAGACATATCCCATCTATCTTTGAAAGGGGATTCAGCCTAGATGTGATGACTGAAGAAATAGAGATAGAGGATTGGAGGACACCTATTGTTCAGTATTTGAAAGATTCATCCTTCCCCACGAGTAAGAAAAATACACAACAAGCAACTAAGTATGTTTTGTGGAATGGAAATCTATTAAGAAAGACTCAGATGGACTTTTGCTTAAATGTTTAGGCTAGGAAGAATCATTGAGGGTAATGGCCGAAGTACATGAAGGAATATGTGAGGCACATAAGGCTGAAACTAAGATGAGATGGTTGCTTAGAAGATATGGCTATTTCTAGCCCAAGATAGAAAAAGACTGCAAGGCTTATGCCCAAGGGTACGAAGAATGTCAAAGGCATGGACCTCACCAACATATGCCCTTAATACCCTTGAACCCCGTGGTCAAACCTTGGCCCTTTAAAGGATGGGAAATGGACTTCATCGAGCAAATTCACCTAGCCTCTAGGAAGGGACACACATTCATAATTGTGGCAACTGATTACTTCACCAAGTAGGTAGAAGCTTCAGCTGTGAAGACTATCATTTCAACCACAGTCAAGAAATTCATTGAAACCAAGATCCTACATAGACTTGGGGTGCTCGAAACAATTGTCACAGACCACAAGCCATCTTTTATTTCAAAAGAAGTAGAGGAATTTGCAAGTAAGTTCAAAATAAAGATGATTCAGTCTAGTCCTTACTACCCCCAGTCAAATGGTCAAGCAAAAGCCAGCAACAAGATCTTGGTGAACATTATTAAAAGAATGGTGGCCGAGAGTCCAGAAAAGTGGCATGAGAAACAAGGAAAAACATTGTGGGCTTATAGAACTTTCAAGAGGGCAACAACTGGAACTACTCCTTATGCTCTAACCTTCGGGCAAGATGTTGTACTCCCTATGGAGATTAATGTGAGTTCTGTCAGGATTCAAAACCAATTCGGGATACACAGTGAAGAATACATTCAGGCTATGTTTCAAGGAGTTGAAGATCTAGATACAGCCCGAATTAGAGCTCTAGATAAAATTCAAGAAGGGAAAAAAGTTGTTGCCCAAGCATACAACAAGAAAGTAAAATTAAAGACCTTCAAGGAAGGAGAGTTAGTTTGGAAAGCAATTATGCCTTTGGGAGCTCAAGTTAAAGGATTTGGGAAATGGAGCCTGACTTGGGAGGGTCATTTCATTATCAACCAAGTACTGGACAAATGAGGATATTACTTGGTAGATGTGGAAGGAAGCTTACAGAAGCATCCAATCAACGCTAACTTTTTTAAGAAATATCACCCAACCTTGTAGGATGTTAAGGATTACTACATTGAAGAAGTATAAGCATTGCAAGAAATCTAAAGTTAGCTTATGTGCTCATCATAGTTGAGTTTCAACAAGGAAATGCAAGCCAAAGTGAATTAAAGAAGTCATTTTCATTTCATTGAATGATGAAGTTACATAAGAATCAGCTCAATAATTTTATATCCTTGAATAGAGTAACTATCCTAGAATCCTGGTTGTCTAAAGATCATTTGATAGTTGCTCTTCTAACCTCTCACTTTGAGAAGACACCATTGTGATCCTTGCCTCCATAACAGAGCCTTTTTCCACAACTCTTACCAAAGTCTTTAACGTTGATCCTAAAACCAACAAGGTCGTGGTAGTTGATCTCGAAGCATACACCCATGATGATGAAGTGATCAAGAAAGCAGAAGCTGTAGATATCAGTGTAAGAGAATATAGCTTTATAGCCACAAGTAGAATCTACCGGTGCGATTAAAGTTGCTCGGTTACTCCTCAATGCCATAGAAGCCCTAAAACAAAAGCTAGAAGTAGTGCACCTTTCCAAGGATATTATAAAATTTGATTTCTCCTTAGGCATGTTGTTTTCAACAGCAATTGGGACCTGAAAAGTCCATGTAGGTCATAAGGAGTGCACTCCTTCCTCCTCGAATAAAAGTTCAGTGTGCATGCCTGCTCGAGGGCGATGAAGGCTATTAAGTAAGCGGCACATGGTGGAAATCCCCTTACCACTCTCGCAGAGAGATTGGATTCAAGCAACTTTGGGTGCTATTGAGGACTTTGAGAGGAAGATAGAAGGAAAAGTTGGAATTAAGGGGGTAAGAATTGAAAAACTGAGAAGGCAAGAGCGTACTGGAATTTCTGGGAGTTCGAAGGCTTAAAATGGTTAAGTTTCTTTGCCAAAGGGGTTAAGGAAGAATTATATAGTGAGAGGTTACTTAACGATGAAGTTCGTGGGTTAGCGCAAGGGTTTTTGTTAACCAATGGCCGCTTTAATTGGTGCAAATCCCGAGAGAATGCGTGCGACGGTTATTTAATCATTATTAGCGCCTGGGATTGCAGCCTCAACAATGATTAAAGGGGGCACTATTTGGGTTAATATTTGAACATTGGGCTGCAAGTGTATGGAAGCCCAAAGATGCCAATTCGAAAAGAGATTTGCCCAAAGCCTAAGCATCAAGCCCAGAGACAAATTGGCGCCTTCCCATTAATGCATAGGTCATGTGCCTTTGATTTAAATGTCAAATGATGGGGACTAACTCACAATCAGCCAAAAAGTACTTTTCGGTGGCAATACAAGTAAAAAGATGATGACTCACTACCCTCTAAGTGTTTTCGGGCAAGAGCAAAGTCACTGCAATCAGGCTAATTCACCTATAAAAGGAAGAAGAGGCCCCAGAGACAAGGACACTCAACCAATCAAACAAACAAACATACAAACTCTGCTCTCAAGCCAAATTTGCATCTAAAAGCTGTAATCAGCCCAAATCTCAATCCTTTTCAGGATATCTCCCTCACAAAATCTATCTTTTGTCTTGATTAGAAGCTATGCTATTACCCCTAGTGGCGTATCATCGATTCCCTTATGTAAACTGGTTTACAATCCATCCCTTTCTAGCATAGAAACCTCTGTAAACTCAAGGAGAAGTGACTGCAAGAGGTTTAACCTTGCCAGACAAGGTGAAATCTTGCCCAAAGCTCTTTGTTTGTTTTCTAAATTTGTAGATCTATTACTTAATGCATTCTACAATTTGTATTCAAGTCATATCCGCCTATTTTCCTACTTTAAAAGTCTTATTTGTATCTGGATTTGGTCAATTTAATAGATATGCTTTCATGTAAAACCAATCAAGAACCAAACAAATAACTTAAGGGATTTGGACTCCCCTCATTCAAATATACAAGACTATGAACTGAAAGTCCTTGGTCACAAGGCAAGAAAAAGAACTTAATGTGGACTTACCCATCCACGACAATCCTTTGATAACAAGAAGTCCGAGAAACTTGGGGCGGAAGTAATATACTAAACAAAATCTTGTTCTACATCTGCTATACTGAGATAGCAATGGCACGCCTAGCACTTAGTTAGTTTTGATTGGGAGCCTCAAGGCCTACACCTAAGGCCCTACAAAGGCACCTTTCAAAACTAACTATGTCTTTTTATTGTAACACATCAACAGGCAAGAGCCCGACTACACATCTAAAAGGCCAATCCCTTGGGGAGCTGTGCTGAATGCCAATGAGCCATCTTTGGAGAAATCTTCGCCCGAACAATTTGGCAAATAAATTTTCAAAACTTTTGGACAATATTCAATGTTCGATTTGAAATTTTTAGAAAATTAATTAGTGTGTGTGCATTGACTAAATCATTTTGTAAATTTATGTCAAACATGCATCTCATCTGCATGTTCATGTCGATTAGGATAGTGCGAATTTTAGTTTGTTTCTTGCAGTCTTCTGCATAAATTTAGTTTCTGTCAACGGTTACATGGCTTATTGGTTTCAATCCCAGACTCAAGTATGTTTGGCAATTCTTGATTTTATTGAATGAGTTTCCTTTTATGTTAGCACTAAACATGTTTGATTATCATGAAAAACAGCTGCACGCCATTTAGATGTTAATTTAAAGCATGATTTAAAAATTCATATGGCTACTCAATACTACGGTCTAGTGGTATTCCTCTTCACTTGAAAGTGAGAGGTCTTAGGTTCGAATCTCATGGATGGCGAATTTGATACCAAATTAGGCTACTCATTGTGTGGCTTTGCCAAACTCTCCATTCCCTTAGGATGCGTTTGTTGCGCCGGACTGTCTCGGACTGAACTAGCTGCCGGGACTAAACTAGACTGGCTTAGACTGGACTAAGCTGGACTAACTTAGTGAAGCGTTTGGTGTAATGTCGGACTAAGAAGCAGGATAAGAAAAACAGTACTGTTCACCAGATTTGTGTTTGCTTAGACTAGGACTACAAATTTTTGCCATTGTGTAATAGAGTAATGCTACAAATCTCATGATATGGGTTAATTGGAGCATATTTTTGCCATGTATATTATGAATCTTAAAAAAATTGACAATTGTTTTGTTTCTATTACCTGCTAATAGAATTGGGTTTAATTTGCAAATGTAGCTTGGTTTAAACTCTATCACCCAACAGAAGAAAAATAATAGTGCCCAATACATGCAACTTCAACAAATACAAGTACATAAGAAGATCTCCATAATTTAGAAAATCCTAGTTAACATTAGTTAACATTAGCCAAAATAGATCTCCATAATTTACAAAATGGCTAGTTAACATAAGCCAAAATACTAGTGCAAAGCTAAGTTATAAGCCATAACATAAGATTGTATGATTAATAAAATACATCCATGTTAACATTAGCCAAAATCCTCATCCGCTTGCGTTGTCGCTTAAAAGCCTTTGGACGAACACTTTCTTGAGTTCCGGTTTGATTGCCCTGAACACTCCCACATTTTTTGGTTTATCCAAAATAAGAGACAATGCATCAATTTGATCCATAGGAGAGAGACCCATTGCTTCAAGTTCATTAGCTATGTCAGTATGATCTGCAGTACCTTGAACTAAAGCTTCAGTTACCATTTGCATCCTCTTCCCACTTTCAACATAAAAATCTTTCAGTCCACTGATAATTGCCTCGGTTCCATCACTTGAACTTCCCACAGCTCTTTTCCTCTTTCTTTGGCTATTTTCCGATGGGGTGCTTTGTTGGATTTGTTGGTTCATTGAAGAAACAAAATTTTTACCTCCAATATCACTTTCACCAACATGATCATGACTTTGTTCCTCCACCATTTGAGCAGGGGTTTCGGCTACATTACCCGTAGCCCGATTTTTTCCAAATATATATGCAAATCTATCAAACAGTGGAAAAGGTTTGCTTCTCCATCCATCGGCTTCTTTATTTCTCTAAGATTATATCAACATAGCAAAACTAAAATTTAGCATGCGTAACAAATATAGTAGTAAGAATATAACTAATGTATAAATAAAATAGGATATGAACCTGCACATAAGTTTGCCATGCGTCATCACTGTCAACTTCAACGCACTTTTTGACATCATTCCATGCAAATCCACTTGTGTTTATCATGTCAACGACCATACTATATGTTTTTTTCCATTTCTTCAACTTGGACTCAATATGTGGATTTGCCTTTATATTTGAATGAGGACATAAAACATTGACAGCTTTTGCTATTTCAACCAAAGTACCTTGTTTGAAAGCACCGGTGTCACACCGTTGCTTCCAAGCAACAAAATCCTCAAGAACTCCTAGTAATACTTCTTCCTCAAATGCTTCCCATTTACGCCTTCTTCCTTTTGGCTCTTGAGTAGCATTCAAAATATTTTCGTTATCCATACCTAAACAAAAAATATTTTAATGAAGGAAAATGCCATACAAATAATCAATTTGCATAATATCCAATCAACTTGCATAATATCCAATTAATTTGCATACCATCTAATCATTGTGCTAATATCTAACAAATGCATGATAAAAAAGGAATACTAAAATAAAATGTTATCATTAACACATATAGCTAGTTCGGTTGCTGGTTCCTAATTGCTCTCCACTCATTATACATTTCCTGAGCTATGTCATTCCTCATTACAGTCCACTGGTCAGATATTTGAACACTACCAACATATTCACCTTCTTCTGTATTTTGTCCATCTTCTATTATTGGCAAATTCTCCATTGGATCTACAGACATCTCTTGCCTAATAAGATTGTGTAGTAGGCAACAAGCGGTAATTATTCGACCTTGTGTCCTTATCGGATAGAAAGATGGACTCCTCAGTATCGACCACCTTCCTTTTAGCAAGCCAAAACAGCGTTCAATTACATTCCTTGCCTTAGAATGCTTCATGTTAAAATATTCTTCCTTATTAGAA